GTTTGTCAGTATTAGACCATGCCTCCATAGTGTTTGGGCGGATATTAATGCGACATTTGTTTTGTTATCGTCCGGACAGATTTAGGCATATGAGGCCATGCCCGAACTCGACGAACGCTTCGGTGAGCGTGTGGGTGAACGCTCACCACGGCTTTTGTGCTGGACCTCCACCAAACAACCGCAATAGCGTACATATGATGCATTCTTCAAGGACGTACAGGTCATAGATATTTTTCATTTGCCTTTCCATTATTTTGTTTAATTGGGAATATTATACATTATATTTTAACTACATGTTCTCCCCTATTTCTACAGCTGCACGTGCATGCCACACTGCGTTCCACGGAGGTCGAGCGTGATCTGCCATACATCGCCAGTTTGGTGCCGTTCTCCGACCGTCCAGTGCAATTTTTGGACGACCTCGCTAGGAAGGTTGTCGGCCTACAGTTCCATGAGGCGGCACAGCTAGTGGGGGAAATGACGGTAGCACTGCGGGTGACGGGCATAACGACGAGTCCGGTGCAGGGGCCGAGGACGTTGACACATCCGTGAGCAATCACCATCAGACACCGGAGGGCAACGGAGACGATGGGTCTAAGTAGGGCTGGGCAAATCTCCTGAATCGAACCCGACGGTTCTTGTCAAATTAAATACCCGAACGGGTATCTGAATTGAGAATCGACGGATATGGTTCGGTTCTTGGTTCTAGACCAAGAACCGATAACCAAGAACCGAAAAATCGAATAAGAACCGAATCTTTCTAATTTTTTCTTTTATATTGAGCAAATCAAATTATTTTAATTTTAATTTTTTCTAAACAAATTAACAATTTCAAAATCCAAAATTTTGGCCCAATAAATTGTTTTATTTCTAATTTTTTAATTTTTTGCCCAATTACTCATTTCATTGTTTCATTTCTTAGCCCAACAAGATCCAATTCACTAAATAACCCTAAACACCTACACCAAAGTGCATAACGTTGTCTCGACTTTCGCACTCACTCTCCCAGCCTCACTAACATTCCAAAATCTATACAATCGTCGGCCGATGATGTGACCTTCGCCGACCGAAACTTTGACCGTAGCGATCATTTGAATAAGGTAGTATACTAGTCTCTAACATTCTAAAGCCATTGAATGTATCATTAGTTGTATTTATATAATATTACTATAAATGTTAAAAATTTTAATTATAGTATAGAACCGAACCCAAACGGTTCCATAATTATATTTGGACCTGACGGTTCCATTTAATAGATACTTGAAAATTTTGGTTCGGTCGACCCGCGCCCACCCCTAGGTATAAGCCTAATGACAGTGGAGAAAGCGGTCGCAACCCCTCCAGCGAGACCGGTGATAGTGACAGCGAGGACAAAGTGGATGCCTCGGGACGGTAGTCGGGTACATTACCCACTCCAGTGGTTGCCCCGTCCACATCTGGTGTTCAGGGTACACGTGGTGGAGCGACTTTGACGAGGGAGGATGTGGAGGGCATGTTGTATGACCAGCACATCCTCTTCGAAATAAGGTTGCGGACCGTGAAGCTTGAAATCATGCAGCACCTCATCGAGGAGTTCACCAGACTAAGGGACTTCATATCTACCTTGGTGCCCCCGTCTAGTGGCACCTCCACTTTCGCTGCAGCTCCGATCGTGAATGAGCCAAACCTTTGTGACGACCCCACGAAGGTATGAGTTTATGTTACTGTTACTTCCACTTACAACATGTATGCAATTTTTCCTATGCGTTTGCTTACAAATATATTTTTGAAATTGCCAAATTACTTAGATTTACATGGAGGCGACATGGACCTGTGCCCGGACGACGGTGCCCGTCCTTCCCCTATTGGGAACTTGGAGATGAATGGTATGTCCGTTAGTTCTATGTAACACATTTTTGGTCTTCGATGTCATCTCATCTCGTGATATGCTAGTCTATTGAATTTAACTGTAATACTAATTTTTTTTTTGTTTCCAAGTAGACGGGCAAGGCAGCGACGTACGGAGCCCGCATGACGACGACCATGCTGATGAGGCTAAAATGCAGGAGGGGAACAGTACGTGCGTAAATTTTGTATTTTATGTCATCTCATCTCGTGATATCTTTCTTGTCCTATTTTATTCGCCTTTACTTACTGTCTTCAATTTAAGTCGTTCAATAATTTCTTATTTTTTTCAAGTAGCCAGGGAAGGCAACGACAAACGGAGCCCACAACACGACGACCATGCAGACGAGGGTGAAATGTATGCGTGAACGGTACGTGCGTTCTTTTTGTCAACTTCTGTCGTCTCATCTCGTCATACGCATATGTATTCAATTTCACTCGTTCATTCATTTGTTCTCTGTCTTCCAACTAGACGGGGAAGGTGGAGACGATCAGAGCCCGGAGGACAACGACTGTGCGGAGGAGGGTGACATGTAGGACATGAACGGTATGTGCATAATTTTTTCCAACTTCTGTGATTTTGGGTTCTATTACCAAACACTTCCCCCTGCACAAATGATAATTCATATCTTGTGTTTGTCCATTTCACCCAATTCCTTTGGACTAGACCCAGGAGAGACCGTCCCCACCCTCCTCAGCGACAACAATAAGGAAGGCCCATTGACCCATGACGTCACGGAGGTAGACGGTACGTGCTTTTTCTTCCTTCAATAATCTTATACCACGACTATGTGGCGTCGTTCACACAAAACCATTTCACTAAGCTCGGGCTGAAATGTTTTATATGGGCGGACACAGAGTTGCCAGCACAAGTGACCGTACCCCAGAAGGGAGGCAATGTGGGCAGTATAAACAGGCGGCAATCGACTCGTGTTCGACGTCCTGCACCACCTACCCGGACACCATACACTAGGGGAAGGGCAAAGAGAGTAAAGAAATGAGTGAGGTCAAGTGGTTTGGTAAGGTCTGATATAGTAGTAGATACGTTGTTGGTAACAAAGACATGCTTTTAATTTGGTTTGTTTTATGGACGGATACGTTTGCTCACCCATATACTACACGTTAAATTGTCTTATGTACAATACATAATTGTTTAGTGCAAGCATGGGATGGTATTGTCGGTACATTTTGTGTGTATGCGTTGATGACATAATGCATGTATTGTTCATGAAATGTAAAAGGGTACATCAACATCATAACTAAAATGAATATATCATCATTCTTATACATCCCAGTCATATAACTTGTCAACACGAACTGACGAGTTTTCCTGTTAGAGTCCTCACAAAAATCTGCATGCCTACCCGCAACCTCAGCACGAGGTGCAGAGTTGACTCCTGGTTTGGTGAGATTCCTTCCTTGTCCTGAATTTTAGCTTTAACATTATCGTTGGTGTCGGAGCTTTCACCTTCACTGGTTATTGTCTTCCCAGTAAGGGTTTTAACAATAATCTGCCTGCCACCACCAAGCCTCAACACAAAGTGGAGTGTGGACTCCTTATGAATTTTATAGTCGCCCGAACTACGGCCATACTGAAGCTATTAACCAGTGAACATGAGCCTCTGTGTTGGTCTGGTGCGATACCTTCCTTGTTTTGTATGTTGGCTTCACCATTATATTTATGGCCTGTATTGTTCATGATATGTGAAAGGGTTCGTTTTTTGGTGATTAGATTGCCTGCACGTTTTCTACTCCATGGGTGAGTACATTTTCTGGTTCTTACATTGATTGGATGGATAGTTACGAACTTGCTCTGCTCTGTCATTTCACTTTATCGGACACCTGATGCAAGTAGGCAGCTGATTAATTCGAAGGGCTAATTTTTCAGTTGAGCATGTGCTTTCATTGAGGTGTGATGATGAATTTTTGTACAATGATGAAGAGGTATAGTTAATAGCACCA